CAGGCATGCAATGCCTCATCCCCTATTGCAACTCACACAACAGGCAATGATACAATAACAATTACTACTCATGGTCACCACCTCTTTCTGTGTGGTGTACCTGGTCACTGCCAATCTGGACAGAAGGTTGATATCAATGTTATCCGAACTGCACTGGCTCCTACTCCATCAGCGACACCATCTCCTCCTCCTGTGCCAACGCCAGCACCAGCTCCAAATGCTGCTTCTCCGCTTTACAATTCAAATAGGCTCGTCAGAGACCTTGGCACAGCTATAGTTGTTGCTATGAATATACTTTGTGGTTTTATTTGATAATAGCAGGATTTTGAGCTTAGTCTACAAGCTCTTGACATGGAGAAGCTCATATTTTCAAAAGAATATCCATATGAAGCCTATATATCTCGTGTATCTTGAGTCAAATAATTGTACCAGTCAGTTATAGTTTTCTTCTTATGTAAGTATATCTGCAGCACTTTCTTGACATTTAGAGAAAAAGAGTCCATCCCAGATACCTCTGTCTTGATGGAAATCTTCAAGTTAGTCTGAATTGCACCCCAGCGGTTGTCTATTGCTTTCACATGCATTTCAAGAAAAATATTGTATCCAAAAATATTAGGCTTAAAGCACCAAGAAAAGCTTCATAAAGCTCAAGGCTTTGGTGGATAGCTTATACTTTTCTTGGAGGACATAATAAACTTGTGATTGTGAATTTCAAAGAGAAACCAGAAGCTTAAAGAGTCGAGGCAATGTGTACAAATGATAGAATTGCTCCATCAGCAAGCACCGTAATCCTAAAAATTCTCACAAAGACATTCCATACAAAAATAAATTTGCATCAAATTCTCGAGCTTCCAGCCAGAATAACGTGATAAATGCAATTAAAAATGTAGGGAATGGGAAGATGACTACAGTCTCCTACATGTACGCAAATGTTTCAAGTCATCTCAAAATGTCTTGTAATTTCTTTGCCCATAAATTTCTTCCAAACAGGATGTTTTTCCAAACCCTGTCGATCATGACATCAATCGGCACACCCTTAGTCTCTGGCAATAAAAATGCAGCAAACAAACCCATTATGAATACCCAGGCTGCGAAGAAGATGAAAATGAAGGCACGCATTTTGCACAACATCGATAAGTACAACTCCGCTATGAGGAAGGTGAAGAGCATGTTGGAGCTGACAGCAAATGCAAATCCCGCAGTCCGAGTCTCCAGGGGGAATGTTTCACTCGGAATCAACCAACCAAGAGGTCCCCAAGACCAAGCTAAGCTCATGACAAACAAACAGACGAGGACCAAAACAAGAATAGCAAGTCCTTTGTTAAGTGAACCGGTGGTTTTTAAATGTACATGTAGAATGATACCAACTGCCATCTGCATGGATTTTGACAATTACAATTAACAATAGTACCACAGGTCGTTGTTTAGCCTGGCAACATATTGAAAGACAATATTATTGTAGTCATGAACTATCAAATTATATGTTTGGGATGTATGTTTTTTTTTTCGAGCGTCCAACCTTACCTGGCATATGAACATCTGAATACAACGCTGAAGAAGCAATTTTCTTCTACCAAGCCGATCCACTAAAAAGATTGACACGAAAGTACTTAAAACATTAACAAGCCCTGTGATCACAGCGGACAGCAGGGATCCATTGCTCTTGATTCCAACCGTTTGAAATAAGATAGGAGCATAAAACATAATAGCATTACCCCCAGTTAATTGCTGAAATACTTGCATCAGCACACCGATTATTAGTGGAGGCATGCTTGAGAGCTTTAGGAGTTTTTTGAATGGATGCTTGACCTGATGTGCCATCTCACAAGCAATTTTGATCTGTTCAAATTCTGCCACAACATCTTCGACACCTCTAATTAATCTTCTTCAGGGCTTCGATGCCCTTTTCTTCTTTGCCACGTTCAACTAGGCTTGATGGCGTTTCAGTAATGACTATAGAACCGATGAAAAGAAGGATTGCTGGAGCACCTGCTAATCCTAAAGATATCCTCCATCCATTTGGATGCACAGATTATGTCCCATAGTTAACAAGATTAGCAAGAAGGATACCAATTGTAGTACATAACTGGAAAAGAACATTGACAGCTCCACGAAGTTGAACGGGAGCAACCTCAGATAAGAACAAAGGAACAGACTGCAATGTTACGGATCAGAAGAGGCAATGACATAATTAAGAACCAATTAATTGACTGAGCACCAAAGTAGCTTTAATTACCTCATTACCAAATCCAACTCCAATTCCAAACAGAATCCGTCCAACTATTAACATAGCCTTATTCACCGCAGTGGCACTTGTGATAGCTCCAAATATTAAAAAAGCAGAAGCCATCAAAATAGTTGGCCTCCGTCCAAGTATTGAACATGCCTTCGATGCACCAAAAGTTGCAACAAGTGCAGCAAGATACAAGGAAGAAGTGAAAAGTTGAAGAAGCTGATTATCAAATTTGCAATAGTTGTTTTCCTTGGCACGCAATTTCCTCTCGTAAACATCAGGAAAGAACTTTATCAAGAAATCATCCATGGAAGTCACTCCACCTGAAAGCAGCACAACAAAGACTTTAGCTCAATTGACTATCTTCCATAGCTACGAGTCATGCCTCTATCTCTATGCTTAAGAATATAACATGCATCAGTTGCCTATTGAAATAAAAGGCTTGTAAAACATGTACAATTGTTCATAAAGAAGTGAAATGCTGATAACTATGAAGGGTATCAGTTAACTTAAAAGCCATTAAATTTCTTGAAGTTCTATCTCCAATCCATCCGCTACCATAACTAAGCAAATTAAAATGCTACTAACGAGTGCCACTAGGCTTGTTGTCTACTTGTCTAATCTCTATTCCATTTGGTAAGAAAGAAAAACGATGTGAGATAGTTAACCTGAGATCCCAACATCGTAGACAAACATTAGTCCACCAAAGGCTGCAAGAATCCAGCAAATTAGCATGTAGGCCGTAATCTTTGATTGAAAATACTGCTGGGGTGGGTCGGTCGAGCCTGTCATATTTGTTTTGGACAAAGTTCATACCATAAAAATTTGCTGTGGACAAATCACAAAACTATAGAGTTGCTTTAAAAGAGATACAATCTATGTATATCTCTAGGATAGATAAAGGTAGAACATAAACATCAGGTTTTTCTTGCAAGTTTCTTTTCTGTGTGACTTATAACGTTTAAATTCCTGATACTTAAATTCTTACTAATATTAATAGTGATGTAAGTTCCGAGTTTTAAGGAGTCTTTTGATGTCGGAAGAAGTTTATGTAAGAGCAAGGATGAGAGAGCACTTTGATCCATAGTTGTCGAAGAAATGTGGGCTGCTTTTAGCAGGGAATTTTGGGCAAGTGATAATTGAAGATTTTTTGGCGTTGGATAGTATTTGACCAACATTGAAACAATACCTTGTGACCTTGTCCCTTAAGCTTGAACAAGCTTAGATAAGGCCAGCCATGCAGGAAATAGCTTGGACAAACTAGCCTGTGTCAAGCGAAAGGAAAGGATCTAATGTGCATTGGTGGCAATCACCAGCCAAATTAGCCGTATTTAGGTACATGAGATCTCTATCTTGTCCGAACTGTTTACCAAGTATGCGTTTACTGCCCTTCACAGTTAGGTCAAGTGATGGTGTTGGGCAGGGAACCCTCGATTACTAGCAACATTCACCTCGAAATGTTTATGGTCTAAGATGTGGGCACAAATTCAAAATATAAGACTCAAACATCTACTTCATATAATTCTGACACAACAACCATGCACATGAACAATAATCGAATATAATAGCTCTACTGTCAAATTGTACAAGCCATTTGTTGTGAATTACGCAATGAAACAATTTAGACAAATATTTGAATTTAGGAGATGTAACGAGTCAAACAACTAGTCAAATTATTTTTTTCTTACGCTGACTGACAGTGTAAATAATTCTTTAAATGAGGTAGTATACACGTCTAACAATTGGGTAAAAAAATAAATTTTCAAATTTGAATTTTTTCAGATAGTTGGCCATGTAATTAGACCCACCCCTACTGTAACCATTTAACAGATGTTTACACATTTAATGAGATTTTTGTGGTTTCCCAAGAAAAAAAAAATGTTAAATGACGTCTAATATTGGTTGGATTGGCTACAATGATGTCAAAAATTGGGTGATGTCAAATTCCTTATTTTCGTTTTTTCTGGAGGCAACTAGGCTGGACTGATCTAATACAGATTAAAGCCCACAATCAGCGAAACAGTTTGCACCCAGTTCCGACCTTGATACCCTGGCCCAAGTCGGGTCTTTACTCTTTACCATGCGACTTCTGTTAGTATTATACTACATCAATTGACAGCTGGATCAAGTTTTTCTTCACTAATTTGTTTTTTAAGAAAATCAAAACTATTTGATCAAAAGTTAACAATATTCTTGAAAACTTTTTACCTTTCTAAATCTCAAAACAAAAAGGGAATACAAAAAACAATCAATTCAATTGATCCACGCTGAGTTAGACTTGGATTTTTAGTCACTTTGGTCTTTGGCATGGTATGACTATGACCAGTTTTCAAACCTAAGTTTGCTACTATATATATTAATGTTTCATTAGTTTTACAAATTACTTCATCCTCACTCGCAATTCAGTAGGATTACGAAATCCAATTCTGATTAAACAAGGGGATATTTTAGAGTGGACGCATCAATTGAATGTAAGTTCCATAGAGCACTTCAAAGATGTTGAGATTAAAAAGAAAAAAAAAAGGATTAACTCAGTAGTTAAGTGAAAATTTTCTTTGTGGGACTTAAAAATCGTTGCTATTGTGCTGTGTCAGCTAGACATAATTAGTGAAATATACAAAAGGGATTCATTTCATCACATAGATTCCGGTAGTACCATCCTAGGGTGTGTTTAATTAGGATGAACTGAGGAAAGTAGAAATGCTTCACTCAAGAAATACTCATGCACTCAAAGGGAAGGGAGAAGGAGAAGCATATAACTTGAAGATGATCGATCGAAAGCAGAATTTTTTTTCCATTTTTTTCAATGCACTGGTTCAAACTCTGTTGTGGTATTCTCGAACAACTTCAAAATTTATAATTCAGGAAAAATTATGAAAGACGAAAAAAAAAAAAGGGGATATAGATAATAACTAGCCCATCTCCACAACAAAATAATTAAAGCTGAAGTATCTTCAGCCTTCTAAGTACTAGGCCATCTCATATTCTTTTGAGTCATCATCGTCGAAGCAATTCTTCCAGACTGGATGTTTCTTCCAGACTCTTTCCACCATGGAATCAATGGGGATACCTTTGGTCTCAGGCAAGAGGACAATCACAAAAAGGCCCATGACGACAATCCATGCAGAAAAGAAGAAGAATATGTAGGCTTTCATGTGGCACATCATGGACAAGAACATCTGAGCTATGACGAAGGTGAAGAGCATGTTGGAGCTGACTGCAAAGGCAAAGCCTGCTGTTCTTGTTTCCAGTGGGAATGTCTCGCTGGGAATCAACCATCCCAGGGGACCCCATGACCATGCAAACGACATCACGAATGTGCACACCATGACCACCACCACTGCGGCCAAACCCTTGTCAAGTGACCCTGTTTCGGACAGTTTAAGATGCAAGATCACTCCAATTGTAACCTGGACAAAAGTGAAAATGCATTGTCAGGATCAGCATTAGAATAGTCAAGAAAAATATTATGCCTATGTATAGTGTTCCAAGTTTACTGGTAAGCCCGGAATTTGAATAAGAGAGCATTTTAAGAGAGCGTTCCCCTGGTTAATGGAGCGAATCCGTGATGAAAATAATTCTTTTTATGCTTGGCGGTGTTGTAAGAGAGATCTAGCATGACAAAATGGTATTCGAGTCTAACAAGCGTTGTAATGAAAATTTAGACGAGCGTATAATGTGTATATATACCTGAGAGATTAACATCTGGCAACAGGCTTGAAGAAGCAATTTTCTCCTGCCAACTTTGTCAACAAGGAAGATGGCGACGAAGGTGCTGCCAACATTAACAAGGCCAGTGATGACTGAGGACAGGAGTGAAGCATCAGACTTGAATCCCAGAGTCTGGAAAAGAACTGGTGCATAGAACATGATAGCGTTGATCCCTGTGAACTGCTGGAAGACCTGAAGGGCAACAGCTATTACCAATGGGGGAAGGCTTTGTTTCTTCATGAGTTTCTTGAATGGTTGCTTGATTTTGCTAGCAATCTCACAAGCCGACAAGATTTCTTCAAATTCAGCGTCAACTTCATCAACACCCCTGATCTTCTTCAGAGCTGCCTTTCCTTCTTCTTCTCTCTTCCTTTCCACAAGGCTGGCGGGAGACTCAGTAATGATCAACGACCCGGCGAAGAGTACTACAGCAGGAACTGCTGCACCTCCAAGAGAGAATCTCCACCCATTGGGATGCATCGTTGAGGTACCATAGTTGACAAGATTAGCAATGAAGATACCAATGGTAACAGCCAGTTGGAAAAGGATATTGACTGCTCCCCTGAGATGGACTGGTGCAATCTCTGTCAAGAACAAGGGCACAGCCTGCACATTTTCCAGTCAAACGTACCAAAATTACTTCTTGTAATTAACTTTTATAATGTAACTCAATTCTGTATTACTAATCAATTCTGTAAGTACCTCATTTCCAAAACCAACTCCAACTCCAAAGAGAATTCTACCCAAAATGAGCATCCAACCAACTTGAGCAGCAGCACTCAAGGCAGCGCCAGCCATGAAGAAGGTGGATGCCATGAGAATTGTGGGCTTGCGTCCCAGCACATTGCAAGCCTTTGATGCAAAGAAGCTAGAAACCAAGGCAGCCAGGTACAAGGAAGATGTGAACAGCTGCAGCATTTGATCATCGTACTTACAGTAGTTGTTCTCCGCTGCATGTAACTTTCTCTCGTAGATTCTTGGAAAGAATTTAATCAAGAAATCATCCATGCCCGTAACACCACCTAATATCAACCCCAATAAAATAAAAATAAAACGACAATAACTACCATCAGAATTTTTTAAAGCAAAAAAAGGAAAATTGGAAACGTTTTGTTGATTATAAATTTGTTACATACCAGAAATACCGATGTCATAACCAAACATCAGCCCCCCGAAGGCTGCAAGGATCCAAGAAGCGAAGACATAGGGGGTGATCTTTGACTTGAAAACAGGGTCGGCCATTTTCAATTGCTGTTCCAAACTGATGCGCAGATGCAAATATCACTCAGCCTTTTTCCTTTAAAGGAAAAATTTATATTGACAAGGGTTCTTATATACAGATTTCACCTGTAAATTATTTATATAAATTGATATACATATATGTACAAGGAGAGTAATGAGAGCACAAGATAGTTTTTAGTTTTCTTGCCCCTTACTCTCCCTCCTGTACTTATTAGGAGATGGTGATAGTGAATTGCCGTGTTCATCTTTGCATTTTGGTTCATCTTTTTATACTAGATTTTGCAGGCTTCATGCACTTAAACTTCGGATTAATTTGTGGATATGTGTTGATTTAGATGAGCAGGATCGAGTCACAAACCTTGTTTACCGCATCTCATTCTTTGACTAGGATTTTAGTGCTTTCACTGTCACACGTGATGATGCAAAATAATTACCGCTCACTTACACTAGAATTTAGGGGTGGAAAAAGTCAAAAGTCAAAAGGATTACAAAAACTGAGAATGGTCAAAATATAACAATAAAAAAAAAAAAGTGTACCACCGTTCAATTCAATTCACTGCACTTTTTTTTTAATTTTGGAGAATTCCCATCCTCTAAACTCTCTTTATTAACTGTGCCACATATAGTATATATCCATCACAAATATTACCACAAAGCCGTACACTTTTAATAGTCAAGAATTGGAAAATAGAATCTTTATCTTTTGTTCTTTTGGTCCTAAAGTCTTTACAATGAGGATAAGATCAAATGACATTTCTTTGGTCATTATTTGTTGGATATGGACTGAACAACAAAAAAAAGAAAGAAAGAAAAGAGGGTGCATTCAAATAAATAAAGGATTAATCTTATATACACTGTCGGTTTAAAATTAAATCTTAGACATATAATACACGTGCAAAATTTAAATTCTAGTGTCGGATTAAATTTAAATATATACACTGTCGAATTTAAATTTTATATACACTGCTGGTTTAAAATTTATATGCACTGTCGGATTAAAATTAAAATTATAAGATTAATCTTATTTAAAATTTATATACACTGTCGGATTAATCTTAGATATATGATACATGTGCAAAGTTTGAATTTAAACTTTAAAATTTGTTCATGTGTTATCCATTCAACCATGATAGTGTATACACTAATAATGTATATAAACTTTACTCATAAATAAATGCAGTAAAGCAGCTTCACACAGGAGTTTCATACTTATTATTAGACTTATCGGAGTTTGGTAAAACAGACGGTTCCATGCTGTAATTTTTTTGGAGGGAGGCAGGACACGAGGATGTACAAAATTTCCAACAGATTGTACATTATGTGTACGCTACCATCACAAAATATTTAGTGTCTGTTTGATAACATAAAAAAGTGCTGAAACTGAATTCATTCAGACATTTAGATGTTTTAGGTGTTTGATAAATAAAAATTTTTCTGTTGAACTTATTAAGTGGTGTTGAATTTGTAAATATTTTTTTCAGCACAAGAATCGTAACTGAATGCTTAATTTGATAAGAATCAAGAGATTTACTTCAACTACTTTATCTTATCTACCAAATCTATCATTGTTTGTTAATTACATTCAAAATTCTTATCTAATTAAACAACCTAATGTTCTCTATCCAAAATCCTTATCTAATTAAACAACCTGACATTCTCTGTTTAATGGCTTTCTACTTCTATTTTCTCCCTATTTAATGACTTTTTTACAATTTCTCCATACTACTCACATCTGTCTACTCCTTATCTTTTTTCATTTTTCTACTCTTTTATAATTTTGTCATTTTTTTCCTCCCAATTTTTTTATTGCTACCGTACTCACCGATCTCAAATTCATTATTTCCAAGGTAGCGTCAACATTTTTCCATTGAAGTAATTAAATTTCTATATAACTTGGTGTGAATTTAAAACTTGTTTATTGCAGCTTCCTTTTGCTTATATTTGGACTTTTCTTATCAAACTCTGATTTAAAAATATATTTGCACCGATATTTGGACTTTTCCATAATATATTTCTTCTTTTATATTACTTTGGTTTAAAAATAAATATTGTCATTTTCATACCTAACAATTTTAAGTTAATTAAATCATAGGTTCTATTTTCTTTTTGGTTTAAAAGATAGAAGGGCAAAATTGTACAATTTATCTTATTAAGTATTAAGTTATAAATGTTTATCAAACAGTATAAATATGTTCAGCATTAAGATTCAGATATTCATATATCTTTTTTCAATGCTTAATATTCAGCAAATTAATTTTTTCAGTATTCAGAATTCAGAATTTAGAATTCAGAATTCAGAATTCAGTTTTATCAAACGAGACCTTAGTTAACTATATTGTAGGTCCTCTACATCGCATGAAAAAGAATGTACATCATGTTCTGTACTTCATGTATTTCTCAAAGTTCAAATTTGAACCCAACTTATGTTATGGTAACAAATGTTCAAAATCCAACCCAGATCATAAATACAGTTGAAAAATAGTTAAGCAGTGATAAATTCGAGTTAATTCTTTCCTCAAAATTCTAGTTGAAAATTTCCTCTGTAGCAATATTTTATTTCATTTCCATGACTTGCAGATTAACATTTTAAGTCTTGCAGCTTAACTTTTTAAGGTTATGGCATATATTCTAATCCGAATATCATCCTTCCAAGGTTATAAATGTATTCTGACCTGAAAATTCAAATGTAAAAAAGAAGAAAAAGTTTGTTGGAAATCATGAATTCTCTCCCGTAATCAATAGTTTGCGTGATTTCATGTGATGTCTATCACATATGTCCCATTTCAATATGCAAAACCGGCCTGTATTCCAATACATATACAGTTTCAGACAGCAGTCTCAAGTTCACTTCCATATCCATGCAAGTCACCAAAAGAACTAGCAAGAGAAGCCTTATCTATACATGTGTTGCTTCTTTTCATTACCAGAGTGACGATTCAAAAGTGAAAACTGGAGAAAAAAATGAAGCAAGCATTAAACCAGAAACTAGAGAGATCCTTTCCCAAAGCAAATAGTGTGATTCAACTATCAGTTTATCGTTTCCGTAATTATCCGAAATGCAATATACTGTGATTCCGGTCGTATGCCAAATGGGTATTTGAAAAGACAAAAAAAAATTGAAGATCAAGAATGAAATGAAACAAAATAACAGAAATGAAGTAACTCTTAACATTTAAAAAGAATTAGAACCTTATCTCTTGAGCTAGAAGGTATAAAACTGTTGTCTGGTGATGATAGTATTTGCCAAATTAATGGATGTATATGTTGGCAGCAATGCTGGAGAAGATGGAAATATTCTTAAGAGACGTATACAGATGTATATGCTGGAGAAGATGTGTATGTTGGCAGCAAAAATTTTTCTATCTTTTTGTCGACTTCCATTTACTTCCAAAAGACGTATACAGATGCAAGTATGCATCGAATTCGTCTGGATTTCTAATCGGGAAGAGATTTTGCTAGATTTTCCGATTGAAATGCAATCACTCAGGAATATGTGATGAGTTGTTATGGATAATTATATTATCCACATACCTTCTTTGAGCGAATGATGCAAATGGAAGGAAACAAAAAATTTTTAGGTCACGCATCTATATTGGCTGACATGTCATCCGATATGACTTTTTTTTTTTGGAGCAAATCATATCTTTTTTTGAGGAAATCATATCTGAAATATTTGATAACATGTAACTGACCATTATTGACATGAACACTAATAAGTGCTGCCAAACCTTTTTTCTCGTTTCAATTTACATTATCCATCAAGCACAACCTTACAAGTTTCTTTTCCTCTCTTTCTTTCTTGTTTTCAAATTTTTGATAAGAGCATCAAGAATGCACTAAACATTAATAAGCAATATATATATATATATATATATATACACGCACATATATGCATTGTATGTTTGTAAATGTTATGTACTGTGATACCCAGTCATACGATTCTTAATTTAGATTTATAAAAATAAAATGAAATTTAAATATTTCAAATATTGCAGCCATCCATCTTCTCCTCTATAAAATGCATAAAATACTATTCTAGTATGTTCTGGTTGATTTTGAATTGTAGCGGAAAGCTTAGAAAAACATTAGTCAAGTAAATAAAGATGAAGAACTAATCACGTCTAAATTCTTAGCACATACAACAAAGATTTCATGGCATTTTAACCCGTTGAATAACTACTTTTATCAAGCCAAATAATGTGTAATATTTCAAATGTTTCAACAGCCAAATACTTAAGCTAAAATGTTTATCTAGATACAAGAAATTTTTTTAGGGAAAACAGGAAAAACTCCCCATTAGTTGTCTAAATATTGTGAAGTTAAACAAAATAATATGTTTGTCAAGTCCTCTATTCCTTAGTCATTGAATATGGTAGCTGATCATGAAAAAAATTTGGTCATTGAATATGTTTACTGAGGAATCATTTCATATTATGTTCAAGACAAATGTGATTCTTAGGCATGGTAAAAATATTTTAACCCTAGAATATAAACTAAAAAAAATCACATAGTGCTCCTATCTATCTTTGACTCAAAATGAAAAATTAAACCTAAAGTTCGATAAAACTAAGATACACATTAAAGAGCACCCAATTAACGGATAAAGTTAATACCAAGTTAACTAAGGGTTAATGGATAAAGTTAACACCAAATTAACTCCACACATGCTTTATTATTGTAAAGATATTAATGGTAATAAATTACTGATTCATAGCACGTATTGTATAGAGTAAAAACGGCATCATTATTTGCCCTCTTAAATATCTTTAAAAAATTATCTAAGTATGTTGGTTTTGTTAGGGATATTAACAAAACTTTTTAAGGATATATATAGTGCTAGATGCTTGTAATTTTTACATCCCATCAAAGTTATCAAGTCTGACCTATTCTATTTTATCGCACATGAATCGTATTAATGGAATTTATTAGATACAATATTAACTAATAGATTTCCTTGGTCTTTTTTTTTCTTCATATTCGCTACTAATTAATTTACGCTAAAATACTATGATTTTTTTATTACATAGTCGAAAATGGTTAAACACAAAAATCTTTTGTCCAATTAATTTCTTTTTCTCATACTTTTGTTAAATTTAATTTCTAAATAGTATTCTAATACTTTTTTATTTTTATTTTTTCTAGAAGCCACCTCAACAAGATCCAAATCTGAATTCGTTTTCCCAAAGGAAAACTAATTTCCAATTTGAAGTTTCAAAAAAATTATCTTATTGGA